GTGACCCTAATGATTCACACACAAGCAAGCAGTACTGTCTCCATAACAGGTAGTTTATGATCCTCAAAAAGACCGCTAAGAATAATCCCAAAAAGACCGAAAAAGAATTTATTCCACCTCATCCTCATTCCACCATGCTGAACCAGGATCCTGTTGGTTGTTGCCAGTCTTTTCATCTGCTTTAGTCTCAGTTCTCTGTGGCCATAAGTCTGAGTTGTTTGCATGAGAAACTGCATGTTTGCATCTATTACTTCGCAGGGTGACTGGGAGGTCTAGGAGAGATTCTGAATGAGACTGGTGTCAGCAGTTCTATGTAGGTGAATGATTCAGTGCATGTGTGTCTGTGCATGCATAAATGAATTTTTACAGCAGCAGGGTCTAAGAGTGCCTTTCCTTTCTTTGTTATGCTCCCCAGAGTCTAGCACAAGGCCCCAGACATAGCAGGGACATTTAGCAAACCTTGTGCCTGTGACTCTTCACTGGACACGTGGTCCCTGCCCTTGAAGAGCTCTCAGCCATGGGCATATATAACCAACATACAAGTTGATTGTATTAAATCTGTAAGGACAAAAAGAGGTCCATAAAGAGGATTATGGAAAGTCAAAAGAGAAAAATATCACTTTCACAAGAGAGCTCAGGAAATGTTTCCTGCAGGATGGGGAGGGGACCCGGGACGTGGTAGTCTTTAAGCTGTGTTGTGAAAAGTGTGTGTGTTGTGTGCACATGCAAGCATGTGCGCACTGCCTTTTCTTTCTTTTATGGTACAAAGGAGAACAGAGAGGGCCTAAGTTTGACTGCTTGATACCTAATTTACCAGCTCAAATACCATGGCAAATGATGGTGTGGTCTGGGAGGCTAGAGTCCTAAGTGTGTGCTAGTCCCAGCTCTGTGCTAACTAAACTGTGTGAACTTGAGCAGGTCCGGTCTCTTCTTCTGGCCCCCATGTCCTCATTTGCACAATGAGGACCAGGTGATTTCTGAGGGCTCTATAGCTCAGAAGTCCCTGGATACCTGATGTCATCGCTCCCATTGTAGTTTTAATGAGTCCCTCTGTCTTCCTGGCCCCAGACCTCCTGTGAAGAGGCAGGACACAGGGCTTTCCCCAAATCCATCCTTTTCCTGGAGTTCTGCTTCTGATCAGGAAGTGGGGAAGCAGGATTTCCTCTGAGGATGTTCTCTGTGACCCAGAGTTTATGGTTTGGGGAGCAGAGATAGAGAACATCACCCAGGTGTAAAACTCAACAGCTCCTTTTTGTGGGTTTGATGTTTTCTCCCAAAATGGACTTTGAACTCCTTAGAAACAGGCAATGTATAATTCAGAGCTGGAGAGAGACCTGTTGGTATCCCTTTGAACAGATATTATTACTCAACATTTTTGTGGGGAAAACGGAATTCTCTTTTTAAAATGTGAAATATATTAAGCATTTTTAAAGGTTGGGAAATAGCCTTTTCCTCATCTATGACTGCAATTCCTTCAAAATCATTCAAGGCCCAATTCCAGTGCTATTTCTTGCAGAAGCCTTTCTGAACTCTAGACTTGTAAGTCACTTCTCATACCCTAGGTCCGCATCACCAATTTATAATGTCGGAGATACACAGGCTAACCCCTTCACCTCAAAAATTGGGAAACTAAAGCCTAGTTATATGAAGTGACTTGCCCAATGTCACAGAATCTAGGGCAGAGAAATCAGAGGAACCCAATTGTTGCTGGCTCCTAATTTGGTGTTCTTTCTCCCTATATATTTTCTCCCCTTCTTATCTTTGGTTTCCTGCCCCCAACCCTGTCCTCTAGAGCTGTATCTGTTCATATCTCTATGCTTTCCAACAAACTGCTCCCTCTATCAGAAGTATCACCTCTTCCCCATTGTTCCTGCAAGATTCTGGAAACAATCTAGAAATGTTCTCAGAATAACCCTCCTCCCAGCCTCTCTTAACATATTCTCACATTATATAGTTTTATAATAAACACTGATCTCACTGTATTGCTCATGTTTGCATGTCTCTTCCCCATTAGACTGAGATTTCTCGAGGCAAGTTTGTCTTGTTCATCACCTTATGCTCAGCACCTAGCTCAGTGCCCAGCAGATCAACAGTGAATGACAGTTGAAGGTGCTGGAGGGGAGAGGAAGAATGAGGTGAGAAGCTGCGCTGGGCTAGATATAAGGGGAGGACACAAGGTTGATGTTGTGGTTAACTACAAATGTGTGACCTTGGCCCAGTGTTTGTCTCATCTGTGAAAGGGGTTAATGATGCCTGCCATACAGAACCTCACTGGGGGTTTTGGTGGTGGGGATGATAGGAAATCACTTAGGAAGGAAATCACATAGGAAAGCACATCAAAGTGTGAAGAAGTCTGCAAACCTAAGCATTATCACCCAGTTTATTTTGCACTCATGAAGGCCTCTCCGTCAATCTAGGGGGCTAGGAAAGGTTCTGCCCTTATGAGTAATGTCTAGAAAACAAGGGCACAGAAAAATCTGTTGTTCTGTTTTCCTGGAGCCCTTACACTCAGTAGGAGGTTATCATGGTAAAACCACTGTACTCTTTAACATTAACAGAAATGGAGGGTGTCTACTCTAGGACTTTTGAGTAAAAAACAGTAGTTTCTGGCCTTGGCCTAAGGGCAAGCAGACTCCTTCTTGTGGGAAAATTAGGCAGGGCAGCTTGGAGCACAACATGTGTTTGAAACAGCAATGACTGTAGTATTTGAGGTAATATATTTAGCTCAAGATGTTTCTTGTAGGAGGCTCTTCTGGAATTCCTCCAACCTCAGAGTATTTTTCAGTGGCTTAAAAAGAGCTTGAACTCTGGAGTTATACTTGAACTTGAATCTCTGATATCAACTTACTTGGGTAACTAACCTCTCCAAGGCTGTTCCCTCAACTATGAGGATGACAATCACCAGCTGGGGTCAGCCAGGCTTAAATGAACTAGTGCATGCAAAATGCTCTGCACAGTGCCCTGTGGTCAGTCCTAGAAAGAGGGAAACTCTCATGATTATACTGCTGTGGCTCCCTACAGCCTGGATCACTCATTATGGCTTTTCATCCTACACTGTCTCATACTGTTGCGTGATTGTCCTGGGTGTGTCTGTTTTCCCAAGTCTTTGAAGCTGGCAAAGAGCAAGGCTTATGTCTAAGATGTCTGCATCCACGTCTATGGAGCTTAGCACAGGCAGAGAAGGCAAAGGACAAGTGAGCAGGGTAATTACCCAGCATGGGGCTCCAAGGTTGAGGGAGGAGATGTTTGGTGAAGGGGTGAGGGGTGCCAACTGGCTGGAATCCAGACTAATGGGTTTGTTTCCCGAAACTGGATAATAGAAGCCCCATCCTATCTTTATCCCATTTGAAGTCACACCCATATATCTATAAACAGTGTGTTGTGGGACTGGATGAAAGAAAAAAATTAAGACAAATGTCACTTGAGAGGTGTTCATCTCTGAAGTCTTTTAATCCAATCTTCCCAGTACTAATGCTTTTTCCAAAGATGCCTGAAAGCTATCACAGCAATTAATTTGCCAAAGAACTTCCCATAGTAAAACACTCTTCTTCAAGAACTTTCTAAAGGAGGCTTCAGTAATGGTTTCTCACCTCTGAACACTTATTTAGTAGAAAGAGACATGTTTTGCTGAATTAATCTGCAGTTTAAATTCAGTCTCCAAAACTTGTGCCTACGTGTCTTCTGAGAGGCCTTAAATTAGATGTGCCAGAAGTGATGAAATTAGATTTTGCCTAAAAAGCCTCAGGTTGGTTTTTTTTGTTGCTTTGGTTCAGATTGAGAGCTTCTTGTTTGGTGTGAAAATTACAGGGTTCCCAGTGATAACAGTATAGTTAATGAGGCTGTCAGTTAATTCACTAAGCATTGTTTTTTCAATCCTGGGCAATATAAATTGTACCCACAGTTGCTTTTTGGGTGAAACACCAAGGGCTAAAGTTCAACAGAACACACTTGAAGTGGCACTGACAATTTCGTTACCAAAAATTTTACTCCTGTGAAATGTATGAGTGGATTTTTATGCTATTTATTAAAATAACTAAAGCTCCAAAGGATGTCTACGGGAACAAAGGGAAGCATAATCATTGTCATTGCATTCCTGCATCTTAACTTGAACCTGAAAGAGCACCAGCACAGGGAATCCCTGGTCCCCCGAAACACCAGCACAGGAAACACTGTGAGACCAGTCCTGGCTCCAGAGAGCCAGCATGCCACTTCGGCTTGCTTACTATAAATGGTTTTATCAGGTTATTACCTCAGGAGGCCCCACTGGGAAGGAAAGCATTTAGAGATCCAAAGTCAGTTTCTTTCCAGTTTACATATCAAACTTTGATATAAGGCAAATGATATCTTAGTCTAGCCTCAGCAGAAGCGTTTTCTCTCTCAAGTGAATGAGGGCTTTTTTCACTTATATTCAGGAATAACGATTTAAAACTTAATTTTTAAGAAGGTGAGGGGGAAAAGGAAGCAACTATTGATACAATCAACAGCTTTGGTGGATCTCAAGGACATTATGCTGAGTTCATTATGACCAATTCCAAAAAGTTCATACTATGATTTCATTTACATTAACATTCTCAAAATGACCAAATTCCGTGATAGAGAACAGACCATTGGTTGACGGAGGTTAGGCCTGGAGGAAGGAGGTATTTTAAAAGCAAGGCACTGTAGTGATGGAAGTTGCACATGTTGATTGTGGTGGTCGTTTTTATGCAAATCTGTAGTGAGTGATAACATCTCATAGATCTATACACAAAAGCAAACAAATGAATATGTAGAGAAACTTGTAAGACCTGAAAGGTCTGTAGTTTAGTTCCTAATACTGTACCCAATGTCAATTTCTTGTTTTTTTTTATTATTTACTATGGTTAGTGAGAAATTATCATTGGGGATCACTGAGGGAAGTGTATATCTGAACTCTTAACATTTTTGTAACTTTTTGGGAGTCTAAAAATTATTTATTTATTTAAAGTGAGGAAAAATATGCTATAGCAGAGGACAAAGGAAAGCAATCAATCTAGACATTTTTATTAAATTCTATTAAAAACACTAAAACATTTGAAAAACTCACAAAGGCTATGAAATATTCATACTCAGTAATTTTCTTGTTCTGTGATAGCTTGTGCTACACACTGAAAAATATTACATTAACATCAACCCACCAATTGCAAAAGTTTTACTTCCACAAAATTTAATAGGCATCGTAATTAAGAGGTCATATACACTCCCTGTATAAAAGATCTTAAGTTATTTTTTAAAAATAAAACTTTCCTCTTAAATTCAGTAAGAACTAATTTTTCCAGGGTCATGATAGCTTTATGTTCTTTTAGGAGACATTGGGTACATGCAGAGATACAAATGCTAGGAAATGGATTTTTCAAGATGTGCAGTCTGAAAGAAGAGTTCAGATTCAGAGCTGTATGATTCTCTGTTTACCTAAATTTGTTGAAATAACTAATCTCAGGATTTGTTTTCTTCAAAAAGGTTTCAGTGATGCTGAACAGCCCTATATGAACAAAAAGAACTTAGCCTTCCGACTAGCCAACCGTCTCATAGATAATCGGGTCACTTGTTCAGCTCTTTGCAATCAGCTGCTACCAAGAAACAGAGCAGTCCCTAGAATGACCGGGGTCCCAAAACTACAGAAAGGCTCTGACTTCCCTAAGCATCTTCAGGAGACACGCTGTCCTCTTGTCAGGAGGATGGGAGTCACAGGTTTAAAATAATTTTGGCAACTGTCTGAGACGCTTTACATCTAAAAAGGTGCCTACTGAATTCATACTATTCATTTGCTTTAAAGTTTCAGAAGGTTTCAAACTTTGAGCAAAAACTGCAGTGTCCCTTTCATTTTCTTTCTCAGGATGCTGGGTGAACTCTGCTTTCCCAGTTTGGAGGTTCACTGCAGGACATGGCTGAAGGTTCTTTAGTAAGAAAGCTGGGTTTTCATTTGACTGCTGTGTTACTTTTGACTGCACAGCTTCATTTGTAATATTTCTCAACACTGGCTTATCTGTGCGGGTGCCCACAGATTCACAGTTGTAATGACTGATTATTTCACAGGCATACCTAGAAGGTTCTTTCTGAAAATCAAGTTGTTCAGGTATGGATGTAAGGTTCTGATTCAGCAAGTGTTCACTCCTGTCTGTAGTGTTTGGAGGCTCCTCTTCATCTTCACTATTGTCACTGCTTTGTATGAGTCCGTATCTCTTCATATACTTTTTAGTTGCAAACGACATGTTGTTTGGTGAAATTAAACTAAGCCCCACTGTGCTTCTGTCTGTATTAATATGTAGAAGGCTAAAAGATGGGTCAAAGTTATTTTGATTTGATCGAGAGAGAGAGAGCTGTGACAGTTGATTTTCATTTAAATATTTCAGAGCTATAGCATTTGCCTCCATGCTCAAATCCACACCACTGGGGTTTAAGCCACTCATGCCAACATTGGCAAATGACATGTAGTTTAATCCAGAAATCACTGCTTCGGGGCTGATGCGTGCCAACACACTGAAAGACACAATGGAGTAGGTCATCATTTATCTTATTTTGAGTACTAAATAGTGTTATTCTAAATGTGTTCCATTCTATGAAAGTAACAAAAGCTCTTCAGCTTTAAGCTTCATGATACTTTTTATCTGAGCACTCAGACATCTGAGTATTAATGATGCAGATACATTCAAGGGATAAAAATGATAACCTAGAAGGTAATCCATGATTCAAAGACTGTAAGTGGAACACAAATTAATTTTCCTAAATTTATACATCAGCCATGGTTTTAAGACCAAATAAAAGACCCCCAAATGTAAAAGCCATTCAATATTGGTAAAATAAAAATTAAATCATGCAGAGAACATATCTGAAACTATAACATTACAACATTATAAATGTAATTTAATACAACATTGCATTATGAGCTTTGGACCCCCAAATGTAAAAGCCATTCAATATTGGTAAAATAAAAATTAAATCATGCAGAGAACATATCTGAAACTATAACATTACAACATTATAAATGTAATTTAATACAACATTGCATTATGAGCTTTGGTGAGTAGTTCAGATTATTAAATTGTTCAAAGTTGAAAAAATTCCATTTGTAATGAATGAAAAACATTAACTAGTCTCCAGACAGGAACTAGTGTGTTTCAGTGTATGTGTCTGTGTGTACACTGGTTTTCTTCCATTTAGATAAATCTTCAACTCACTTTGGTTGGTGATCATTAACTAATTGATATGCTTTATCCTTTAATGACAAATACAATAATAGCTACTAATTTTTATTGATGCCTTATTATGTGCCAGGCACTCTGCTAATTATTCAGTAGCTCATTTAATCCTCACAGAAACCTTTCTCAGGGAGGTCTTCCCTGTCAAACATTTCAGCTTTATTCTCTACTCTGATACTTCCCATTTCCCTTCCCCTACTTTTCTGTTTTCTCCTGAGCCCTTATGGCTGTCCATATATTTAACTCATATTTCTTATTTGTTGCCTAGCTTCCTCATGTAAGCCCATGAGGGCAGGGATTTTTGTCTGTTTTCTTACCCAATGCAGTACCCTTGGTGCCTGGAACCCTAGCACAAAGTAGGCACTCAATTACGTATTTACAGAATGAATAAAATAAGTAGGTACTATTACTGTCTTTGCAGTTGAGACAAGGACTTAGGATAGAGATTTTAAACTTATTTCCCTAAGTTGAACAGTTAGTAATTAGCAAGCTGAAACCAAGCCTGTCTTATTCTTTGGGGCTCTACGACCACTGTTTACTATACTCTGTTCAGCAACTTGTATTTTGCTATCACTGTTCTTTTGTTGCCTAAAAATTGGAGTCCTCTGTTTACTGTTTTTTGCAGTAAACGTTATATTCTAGTCAAAGAATATGCTATGACTTTCCATTATCATCCAATAAAGAAATGCAGCTGGTTATGTACCAACCACTACCTGTATCCCCACCCCCACAAAACCCAGGTAAATCTCAGATGCTTTCATTCTCATAAGTATCTAAAATTTTGAAGCTATTTCCAACCATTAATATTCCCTGAAACCAGTGACACCCTCAGCAAACAATGAACAGTGTGCTCAATAATGCTGGTCTTTATAACTACCTTGGAATTCTCTCTTAACCTTCTTAGTTCTTATTGCTCTGGAGACTATCTTACTAAGAGATACCACCAATTTATCTAGGCATTATTCTTTTACAATATATTAACAGTGATGATATATTCTGCAATAGTCTTTTTCTACCTTTACCCATTTCCTCAAAATTATAAGCAATTAGCACATTATATCAGAAGACCTGTACACATTAGAAAATGTATCTACAGATAATTTATAGTCATTTGAAAAAGTAAATAAAAAACTCCTAATTCAGACGGAGAACCAAGATGGTGGCGTGAGTAGAGCAGCGGATATCTCCTCCCAAAACCATATACATTTTTGAAAATACAACAAATACAACTAATCCTAAAAGAGAGACCAGAAGACACAGGACAACAGCCAGACTACATCTACACCTGCGAGAACCCAGCCCCTCACGAAGGGGGTAAGATACAAGCCGTGGCCCAGTGGGACCCGAGTGCCCCTCACCCCAGATCTGGGTGAGAGGAGGAGTCATAGTGGGGAGGGAGAGGGAGCCCAGGACTGCTAAACACCCAGCCCTAGCCATCTGCACCAGAGTACAGACACACAGTGCGTGCGTGGGGTGCTGGAAACTAGGGAAAAAGGACAGTAAGACCTGTGAGCAGGTCCCCGCAGCCGGCACACCCAGGACAAAGAAAAGCAAGTGCTTTTTGAAAGTTTTAAAGGGACAGGGACCCCACAGCTGGATGGAAGCGTCCCAGGACACTTAGCCCAGCAGCTGGGAATCCTGGGGAACTCTGGGTGCCCGAACCCCCGCAGTGCAGCTCAGAGGCCCCTCACCATGATAAACAGCCTCCCGCCTGTTCCCCCTCTGATGCAGCTCTGCCATATTGGAGAAGCAGCCTGAGGCAGGCCACGCCCACAGCAACTGCAGAGCTAAATAAACTCCATAGCGGCTGGGCAAGATCAGAAGCCCCATCTGCAGGCAGCTGCCCAGCACAAGCCGCTAGAGGCCACTGTTCTCCCAGGAGAGGAAGGCCACAAACTGACAAGAAGGGACTTTCTCTTACCCAACACATGTGCCAGCTCCCCACAAATATATCTATCACCATGAAAAGGCAGAAGAAATCGATACAGACCAAGATCACAGAGCCAAACCCTGAGGAGATAGACCTAGCCAGTCTTCCTGAAAAAGAATTAAAAATAAAGCTCATAACCATACTGATGGAGCTGCAGAGAAATATGCAAGAGCTAAGGGATGATGTCCAGAAGGAGATTACAGAAATGAAACAATTTCTGGAAGGATTTATAAACAGAATGGATAAGATGCAAGAGGCCATTGATGGAATAGAAACCAGAGAACAGGAACGCATAGAAGCTGACACAGACAGAGATAAAAGGATCTCCAGGAATGAAACAATATTAAGAGAACTGTGTGACCAATCCAAAAGGAACAATATCCGCATTATAGGGGTATCAGAAGAAGAAGAAGAGAGAAAAAGTAATAGAAAGAGTATTTGAAGAAATAATTGCTGAAAACTTCCCCAAACTGGGGGAGGAAATAATCAATCAGACCATGGAAGTGTACAGAACTCCCAACAGAAAGGACCTGAGGAGGACAACACCAAGACACATAATAATTAAAATGGCAAAGATCAAGGACAAGAACAGAGTTTTAAAGGCAGCTAGAGAGAGGAAAAAGGTCACCTACAAAAGAAAACCCATCAGGCTATCATCAGACTTCTCAACAGAAACCTTACAGGCCAGAAGAGAATGGCATGATATATTTAATGCAATGAAAGAGAAGGGTCTTGAACCAAGAATACTGTATCCAGCACAACTATCATTTAAATATGAAGGAGGGATTAAACAATTCCCAGACAAGCAAAAGTTGAGGGATTTGCCTCCCACAAACCACCTCTACAGGATATTTTAGAGGGACTGCTCTAGATGGGAGCACTCCTAAGACTAAATAGATGTCACCAGAGAAAATAAAATCACAGCAAAGAAAGCAGACCAACCAAATACTAACTAAAGGCAAAAAATAAAATCAACTACCCACAAAAGCAGTTAAAGGAAGCACAAAAGAGCACAGAATAAAACAACCAACATATAAAGAACGGAGGAGGAGGAATAAGAAGGGAGAAAAATAAAGAATGACCAGACAGTGTTTAAAATAGCTCAATAAGTGAGTTAAGTTAGACAGTAAGATACTAAAGAAGCTAACCCTGAACCTTTGGCAACCACGAATCTAAAGCCTGCAATGGCAGTAAGTACATATCTTTCAATAATCACCCTAAATGTAAATGGACTGAATGCACCAATCAAAAGAGACAGAATAACAGAACGGATAAAAAAGCAAGACCCATCTCTATGCTGCTTACAAGAGACTCACCTCAAACCAAAAGACTATAGGAACAAAGAAAGACTGAAGGAACAAAACAGCAGCAGAATCATAGAACCTAAGAATGGACTAACAGTTACCAAAGGGAAAGGGACTGGGGAGAAAGGGAGGGAAGGGAGGGATAAGGGTGGGAAAAAAGAAAGGGGGCATTACGATCAGCATGTATAATGTTGGGGGGGGCATGGGGAGGGCTGTGCAACAGAGAGAAGACAAGTAGTGATTCTACAGCATCTTACTACGCTGATGGACAGTACTGTAATGGGGTTTGTGGGGGGGGATTTGGTGAAGGGGGGACCCTAGTAAACATAATATTCTTCATGTAATTGTAGATTAATGCCAAAAAAAAAACCAACTCCTAATTCAAAATGTTAAATATTTAGAAAAAGTAGGTCTAATTTGAATTAGATCTTTTATTAGAATGGTTAAATTTAAAGGAGCTATATAAATCCATGAAGGAATCAATATCAGTTTCAAAGGTTCTTCAAGTTTCGTTGTCTAACACAGCTAGCTAGTTTCAATTTTGGGGGTTGGGGAGATACCATTACTTTGAAAACAAATCAATAATACTAAGAACCAATGCATATAAACACTAGGGTAATTAAGATTAAAAGCAAAGGAAGCCATTCCACCTATCAAATCCTAAAAGCTTTTTTGAGCACAAATATAGTATATCAGAATCTCATTAGATGTACAGGCATGAGTCTGAGTATGTGAGTTACCTGTCAGCAATGAAGGGAAGCTAAAAAATTATTCCAATTTATTTAAAGATGAAAACCAACCCAACTTTCTGTCTTGTTTGAATTCTGATTAGTTACCTCCTAAATGGGGTTTTCAATTAATAAGAAGAAAAGAAGAAAGCCACTAGAGAGACTGCTTAAGATGTGTTTTGAATTCAAAAGGTCACTCCAGTTGGGAATAGGCTACTACCAGACCTCATATTACAATCTGCAATTTCCCAGTATGTCTGGGACCTTCTTTCATTGCTTTTCTGATTTGGATCTTCTTAATCTCTGCAGTGCTCTGGAACAGGAAAGCAAAAAAGGAACTCCTCCTTCCCCGGTCTTAGCTACTCTTCTGCTGGAAGAATCTGCTCCTGGAGTCCAGAACTAGAACATGGAATAAGTTGTCACCAAGACACAGTGACAGAAGATAGGTGGTTTATAGAACAGCTGCATACTGAACAGAACAGTATAGATTACAAGGATTATAGGTTACTTTCCTGGAACACTATAGTACAATTTATAACACTATTTCTATAGGGAAATGTATCTTAAATTCTAAACAACTGCCTCATGAACTTCTGGCATGCCAATTCTAGCATACCAATACATGTTAAAAGATAACAACACAGGCTCTATAAATACAAACAAGTACTACAGAGGTATACTAAAAGTAAAGCATTCATTGTCAGCTTTAGTGATGACCCCTGTAGGTGGGATTTCATTCATTCGGCAAAGATTCATCAAAGGCCCATTAAGTGTGGTATTGGCATTGAGGATTCAGGGATATATAAAACTTACAATCTTGCTGGGAAGGCTATCACAAGACATGTTATAACCTATCAGGAACAAGGTGTTCGGGAGTACACAACATCAATATTCTGGTGAGGGTTCCAGGAAACCTTACCAAAGGAAGTGACATCTGAGTTCAGCTTTGAAGGGTAAGAAGGATTCTGGCTAGCAGAAAGCAGAAAAAGAGCAATCCAGCAAGGATCTTTTAGGATGGAACCTTGCATGCCAATAAGCATTGTAGCTGGAACTTGGTAGAGTGGTAGGAAATTATACTAAAACATTAAGTTTAAGACAAACTGAGAAACAATGTGAGTTAATGAGGTAGGCCTTACTTTTTATTTTAAATTATTTTTAGGTAGGCTTTAGATAGTCTTATGTTTGGATCATCCTCTTAACCTAAGATTACAAATAACAAAATTTGACTTCCAGGTGTTGGAGAAATAGTTTCAGTGCAGTTTCATTTTTGATCACAATATATAGAATCCATTCATAATCAATCACATGTAAATTTAAAATAATTTAGGATATTTTTAGTCTAGATTAGCACAAATCTTTAGAAAGGGCAAATTTTAATACAGGGTAATTAAAATATAGTATGAAAATACTGTTAAGGTTTGGTATCTCTCCTGTGTGCTTCCATAGCATAATATATCCTTCCTTTAAATAGTAGGTATCAGAATATATTATAATTGAATACTTCTTTGTGTGCCTTCTCTATTGAACTGTAAGCTCTATGAGGGCAAAAATGTCTGTACCAGGTTACCCTATTGACCATGATACCTCTCATAGCTAGCTCACAGTAGATGTTCAGTACATATTTACTGAAGTAAAATGAGTCAAAGTACTAGTGAAACCGTAACCCATACGGCTGGTGGGAGCACAAAACCTTACTCTTTAAAAAAGTAATGTAGCAACACCCTTAAAAATTTCCTACTATTTTGACTTAGTCTTTCCATTTCTGAGACTCTGTGCTAAGGAAATAATCCTAAAACTAAAGTATGCAATCTTTGCAAAAAGATGTTCATCATAGTAACATTTAAAATAATAAGAGATGGAACCTACTCGACAAGTTCTTTTCAGTTCTGACAAGAGGGGAAGAGTTAAGCAAACAAATATTATGTCTCCACTTAATGGATTATTATATCCCCATTAAGGATGATGCTTAGAAAGAGTTACAACAACTTGGGAAATGTGCTTATGTCCCAATGTAAAACAAACAAATTTTATACATATATATATGCATATAATTTTCTGGTATATACATCATGGTCAAAACACAAAGCAGCAAAATATGTATCACCATCAGCCCCTATCAAAAAACTAAACAAGCAATAAGCAGCAGAGTCAAACAGTAAAAAACCAAAATAAAACTAAAAGCTATGACTTTGGAGTCATAGAGAATAGATTTAAAATCGCAGGTGTGTGCCCTTGAGCAAATTAGTACTTAATTTCCTCATGTATAAAATAGAAAATAATAATAGTATCTATCACAGGTATTGTTGTTAGGATGAAATGAAATAATGCTGCATAAAACTTGAGCACATGGCTTATAGTTCCTTATTCAATAAGTGGTTGCTGTTAAACTTCTAGAAAACAAATAGAAAAGGCAAAATTTTAATAAATGAGTTTATTATGAATATGGGTTTTTTCTTGTCTGTTTTGAAATTTTCTAGTTTCCAATATAAGCTTATGTTACTTTGAAAATGGTAAAAGAAATATCAAACTACTCCCAAAGCTTTAGAATATTTTATACAATAATTTATATCATTAAAAATTTTTTTCAAATGAAGATATAGCTATGTTATTGTAAAATTTTTGGCAGCTTACCCCTCTAAGGAAATACTTAATTTAACACATTGCTTTGAACTGAAAACAATTTTTTTTCCACATTGGTTTTCATTTCCTTGAGAAAATTATTTTATACATAACTAAAATCCTATCTATGAATTCTTCAACTCACACAGATAACTAAATTTTAAAAATGGGTGTAGGGATTAAATGAAAATGCCTGTTTTTTTAATGCTATGTAGAGAAAAATAAAATTGTATATATAGTAAAACTATGACTATGTTCCCTAAAAAGCGAATTTTCTTTGAACATTATTAGTTCTGAGGATATTTTCCTCATTTTCTAAAATTCCAACCCTGAACATATATTGTTTTTATAGTATAAATTTATAACACAAATTGCTATAGCAGAACAACCTCGAGTAAAACAATTTGACTACTGATACATCAAAAAGGCTTTGTTTTCCACTTCATTCTAAGCATTTAAAAATAATCAAGTTCATCATATACTGAAAATTTATTAATTTCAATGTTTCACACTTAAGACATTAAACTAGGGTGTCACTGTGAAGAAATATGTTACTTAAAGACCACTCCTCAAAGGAACCCACTCTAAGACATAAGGGTTCCACAGACAGTGGGGTGATTTGTGCATTCTAACAGATGTTATACAGCCTCTATCTCACAGTACTGAAATAAAACCTTTAAAAATTCTAGCCTCGCTCTCCTACACTGTAGGAATATAAACTGGGACAATATTTTGGTGGGCTATGGCAACAACTACCAAAACTTTAAATTCACATATCCTTTGATCCTGCCTACTTCTGTGATCACACTCACACATATACACTTGAACATGAACAGAACATTTCTAGAAGAATACAAAAGAAATAGTTAGGACAAGTAACCTTGGAGGAGATAGACTAAAGTTTGGAGAGTAGGGGTTTCTGAATTTTTATCTATATTCTTGTGTATTGATATGTATTTTAATCATGAGACTGTATTATTCTTCTAACTAGAAAACAATCAAATAGTTAACATAAAACATGGTTATTTTAATAATGTTGTTTCCAGATTTTATCCTCTTTAAGCACAAGTATGTGCTGAGGACATGTTTGGTGAAGAGGAATCTGAACATAAGAACATGGCCAAACGGAACTGATGAGCAAGTAAGGCTTGCGTAACTACACTCTTCAAAACACATTCCCAGGAAAAGGAATGTTTTTTGTCTTTGAGATGGAACCCCTACAAAACCATATACTCAGTAGCTGGCGCAGATCCTACTACTTCCAGGAAGACCTTCCAAAAACTCCAGGATACTGAATAAAAGCTCATTACCCTTTCTCCAAGATGCCCAGAGCATTTTGTTGACTTCTTTACCCAGGAGACATGCCATGCTACAATACCTTTCATATTTATTTTATATATAGTATAAACCCTCTCCCCAACTAAACTGAAGAATCTATAGACTGCTGAAATACATCTAAAATGTTTTCATCTTTTAAAACAAAGTTTAAAGTTACCTGGCATGATCCACTTTATGTGCATTTTTCTTCACTTTAGTGGGAGAATCAATTTTTACTCCAAGGCTTCTTAGTTGTTTAAGGGTTGCATTAAGAACACAGTCTTTGTCCACCAGTCCTGAATCATGTTTGTTTTTCTTTGTACAGTAAACATTTTGGGTTCTGGTACATTCATGGCTGATAATTACTGCTTTGGGAGATGGCTGCTCGGTTTCTTTGGAGGAATTATTCAGTAGGTGGTTCACTTGATCCTGATGAAAAGAAAAAATACACATTTGAAAAATCACTACTAACACATCTTAGGAAACACAAATACAAACAGTAGCATAAGGCCAGGAAAAGTAGAATAATATCTTGTCAAATCTACAAAGTTATCAAGTATATATGCAAACAATATGGGATTTTAATAAAAGAAGCCCATCTTAATGAATGCTTTTATCAGATCCTAGAGAAAACTCAGAATATTTATTCAGATCTGTTTACTTAAAACCAACATATTTACAATCATTTAGTAATATTTCAAGTATTTTCAAGGATTTATAGTAAATCTTTATATAACCTAAGTTTTAAACTATGCTTTCATTCAAAAAATGATGTTTCAGAGTCATACATTAGATCTTTATGTTACTTTCAGAATTTGATTCCTCTCTTCTCAGTCTGAATAAGAATGACCTGTGATATGGTCTCTGTCTTCCTGACATTAAATATATTTCATCCCCTGAGCACACAACTGCTCAGCACCGGTCTAGGACCTAGCAGGCCAATGACAAATATGTGTTCACTGATGAATACTTAGGACCATGTAAAGGATATTTAATTAGTCTCCAATTTTAAATGGAGAAAGCAAATGTTCCGAAGTCTACAAGTTGGATGGAGTGACAGATGGTCATTCCACCTTTAAGCCCTAGTTTACATTCTAACTTTACCAAGACGATTGTGGCCTCAGAATTACCCCTTTAATTCTGTGCTGCCTTTGCTTTCAGCACTTCTCAGCCTGTCCTATAACTGTTTGTTACTGGTACCCGTGTGCTGCTTCCCCTAGGTCTCAAGGGCAGACTGTCATACTTATATTTATATTATCTGCTTTACTTAGTTCACTTTTTTAGACTAAACTAGGTAGTCAATAAAAATCTTATTATCTGAAATGAAACCAGAAAATATTACCATAAGTATTCTACTAGTTTCCAATTTTCAAACTTCCTACAAACTCTTACTTATTTTTTCTGGTACAACTTTAGCTTGAATTTGATATAACATAATACTTAATATTTTTAAAATAAGGGTTTTTTTCTGGCTAAGTAACTGATTACCAGCATGCTTACAGTAAATTACTAAGTTTAGGTTACCATAATTTATGAAAGCTAAAATAAATAAATGATGTATCATTCATTTGGGAAAAATCTTTTTATATCAAGGTTCCAATCAGCTTAAAGATGGGAAAGCCTTAACTAATATATCCTAAAAGACCATCTCACAAAAGGAGAAATGCTTTTACATTTCTTACCAATAAATCCTGGTATATTTTTTGGTTATCTGATGTTTGATGAGGCAATGGTTCCATTACTTGCTCAATTTTTGGGTCCCCTGATGTTTCAGAGTTGTTACTGGCACCCTCTGTTGGTCCATTCTGTAAGCACATGCTTACAGTCTCTGCCAGCAGCGAATTCGGAAAGAATACGGGCACATCAGGTTCTTTTCTTCCAACTGAAGAAGAGCTGCTTAAAGGATACATAAAATGCAAGGTATTAGTTATTGAGATATACCTTTACATATATCTGAAGTGCAGTAACTTTGGAAGAAAGAGAAAAGGCTCAAGTAGCATTCTGGTTTGTACTTTCAGCTCTTAGTGATGCTATGTAAGCAGCTCATCTTGATAGGCTTCATATAAACTGGGTTGCGGTACCTTTTCAGGTTATGTTATTTATAATATATTTAGATTAACTTTCTTTGAAAGCTGGAAACAATCTGTTGATTTCTCCTGAACTCGATGCAATGGAAATTTTTGAGTATCTAAAAATTTAAAATATATTATTTGTTAACTTCAAGTGTTAAAATGTAGTTAAGATCCCTGTCAAATGAGAGTTCGTAAGCTGCCACTATCATCACATTATACATTTAGTGGAATTTCTTCTATTCTTTATGCTTTTACATATTTTTCAAATTTTATACAATGAACATTTATTACTTTCAAAATCAGAATACAAATATATACTTTTATAGTAACTATGGGAAGCAGTATTAAAAACCAATTCTTGTAGGAATAATAATCTGTGGCTATTGTAGAGAAAAGTAATAATTCCTTACCAAAAAGACCTATCAGATAGATATTACATATAATCCCTATTTGACAGATGAGAAAATTGAAGCACAGAGAGGTTAGTTAACTACTCAAATTTACACCAAGTATGAAGAAAATAAGTCACAGGAAATTTAATACCAAGGGATAACCAATGTTAACATTTTAGAGTATTTCCATCTATACTTTTTTCTATTGGTATTTTCTCTGAAAGACTATACTATATTATAGTTTTAGAAGCACCTTTTATTGTGAGAATCTCTTCCCATTAAACATTCTTAAAATATCCTTAAAATATTACATTTTATATAGTATTTATATTGATATTTCATTTTATATGGTTTTTCTAATCATACTTTTTCTTTACAACTCAGTTAATTTCCAATTTTTTTCCATATTGCTTAATTTTAGCTTGACATAAAGTACCAAGCATTCATCTGGTACATGATAAACATACGCTGAAATGAATCTTTGTAAAACACCAGTCAGGACAGAATTCTAAGGAAAAAAATCAGTAAATTTGATTACATAAAATAAAAAATTGTTACATGGCAAAAAATAAAAAATAAACTGCCGAAGTGGAAGAAAATATTCACAACATTGCCACAAAGAGCTAACATCTCTAACATAAAAACACTGAAAAATGGTGAGACACACAGACGATTCACAAAAATATCAGAATGACCCTCAACATGAAAAAGTGACCCAACTCACAATTTAAAAATTAAAACAATACAAATAAACCATTTATCACCTATCAGATTGGTGGAAAACATTTTTTTTTATATGTGGCAACAACATATGATGGCACAGCTGTGGGGAAATAGGTAGTTTCAAACATTGCTGGTGAGACTACAAACTGGCATGACCTTTCTGCAGGGAAATTTGGTAATACTTAAAGTTTTGCAGGCACTTAACTTTGGATGCAGAAACCCTACTTCTAAAACAATTCAAAAATGCACATGTACAAAGTAATTCATTGTAGCATTGCTTATAATTGAAAAATACTGGAAACAGACTGTTCATAAATAGAAAAGTGGTTTATTAAATCATGGTACATCCACATTAGAGTCCTATACAGTTATTAAAAAAATGAAGATCTCTTAATTGTTTTGGAGTGATTTCCAGAATACACTCGAGTGAAAAGAGAAAGGTTCAAAACAATACCTGTGGCATGCTGTTTCTCTGTAATTTATGTAAGAAAGAAATAACATAAGAAAATATAAACATACATGCTCATTTGTGCAAAAGAAATACAGGAAGGATAAGCCAGTGTGACTAGAGATTGTTTTTCTAATGGAGATGGGTGGGAAAAGGGTTGGGAAAAGGCATTTGGGAACACAGTAGCAGGGATGAGCAAGGAACAACACTTCTTCGATTATATAACTTTTTATATAGTTGGGTGTGTCACAACTATAGTGTTGTTTCAGATACCCAAAAAACAAAACCAACCAGAATATGGAGGGGCCCCAAAATGGAATATGAACAGTAACAAATCAACTAATGGCATTATAAATAACAACTACATAACGGAATGGGGAAGAAAAGAACTAACTAACTATGGAAAAAGTATTTCCATTGGGTATTGTAAGGCTAAAGATAAAAAGAACTATAAACAAATATACTCTATTAAATATCAGGATTCTCAGCAATTCTGAAACTATGTGTACACTAACACTTCTTCGATTATATAACTTTTTATATAGTTGGGTGTGTCACAACTATAGTGTTGTTTCAGATACCCAAAAAACAAAACCAACCAGAATATGGAGGGGCCCCAAAATGGAATATGAACAGTAACAAATCAACTAATGGCATTATAAATAACTACATAACGGAATGGGGAAGAAAAGAACTAACTAACTATGGAAAAAGTATTTCCATTGGGTATTGTAAGGCTAAAGATAAAAAGAACTATAAACAAATATACTCTATTAAATATCAGGATTCTCAGCAATTCTGAAACTATGTGTACACTAGGGTTAAACAAATAAGTATAGTGTACGGAATAAGATTCAGGTTTCTTACTGTTGGAGAAAGAAGTTATAAATAAGAAAGAGGTATTGGGCTGGAATCAGAGGATTAGTACAAAGTCAAGGATTTTTATATATAGATAGGTACATAAAGAAATAAATACATTTGTATGTATGCATGCATATATGTACATGTGTGCGCGCACACACACACACACACACACACACACACACACACACACACACACACACATCTCCTAGCTAAAAGGACTTACCAGCACATATATAAAGTAGCAATGAGCATCCTACTGCCCAGATCCTGGTTCCTAAGCATGGTTCTCTGATACCATTACTCCTAGTTTCTATGGTTGATTCCAGGACTGGGGCAGGGAAAATTGAAGATTAATCTAAAACATCTTGTAGTGCCAGAAAGTAAGAATATACTCAAAAAAGGATGGGGGCTTTTCCAAAGGACACAGAAGGCAATCTGAAGATCTCCCAAAGGCCAAAACTGGAACAATTTGAGCAACAAAATCACAGTAGTTTTGATTATAACTCGTAGAATAAAAGAGATGTCCAGGAGTCCATGCTGACATATAAAATGAGTAAGTACATAAGCAGAGGGGAAAGAATAGCTTTTCCTTACAAAAACAATCCAATTTACAAATGTAGAAGGAATGAGAAAAATATAAAATTATCATTAGGCAAATACTACAGCAGTAATTGCTGCAGGCAAGATCCATAGATGGAAGCTAGCATCAGATAGAGAAAGCTTGAGAAGGGGATATTTGCAGAGTCTCAAAGGATTTATAAGTACCACATACTTATTAACCACAAAGGGAAAAATCTTTAACTTTATAATGAAAAAACTTGCAAACATCACCTTAACTGAATGAGCAATGTTAATAACCAGACATTAATGTATCCCCTGGTATGATGCGTTAAGATGTCCACAACACCACTTCTGTGGTACTCTTGCCAAAAATGCAAGACTAATTTAACCATGAGAATGTACTAGACAAATCCAGATTAAGAGACAACTGACCAGTACTCATCAAAAGTGTCAAGGTCACGGAAGACAGACTCTGTCAGAGACTGGACTAAGGAGGTATAACTAATAAGCCAGTGTGGGATCATATATTGGATCTTGGAACAGAAAAGGACATTATGAGAAAAACTGGTACAATTAGAATTTTCAGTTTATAGTATTGTACCTGTTAATTTCCTGGTTTTGACAATTTTTCTATGGTTATGTAAGATGTTAACATTAGGTAAGGCTGGGTGAACTCTACTATTTTTCCAGCTTTTCTGTAAATCTAAAATTTCAGAATAAGAACTTTTAAAGCAATATATAATTCCACATTCAGTTACTTTTTCTCGATCAAATGAAATGATAAAGAAGTCTAAGATCCTGAAGAGGAAAATACAACAAAAATACAATACACATATTTTAACAAATAATAAAATTTACAGTTAGGGATTATTATAGCCACCATTTGGTATCGCAGACACAAAGATACACAGGTCTTAAAATGAGGAAGACACTCTCCAATTCACCCAGTGACTTGGATGGCCTCTTCCTTAAGATGAAACTGCACTTAAACTAGTAAAAAAAACAAGTGAATTTATTCTAAAAAGAACTTCAGTGAATTTACATTGTACAATTTCCTTTAGTACCCGAATTTGGTATATTTAGATACCAAGTATTAAATCTTATATGCAGAGAAAAAAATGCCTATTTAAGAACCTTAAACTTAAATGGGAGAAATATTTGCCAATCATGTATCTGATATGGTGGTAAATACCCAGGATATTGAAAGAACTCCAATTCAACAACAGAAAATCAAATAATACCTATTTTAAAAATGGGTAAAGGACATTTCTCTCCAAAGATGATAAACAAATGGCCAACAGACATTATGAAAAGATGCTGAACATCACTAATCATGAGAAAAATGAAAATTAGAAACAATGAGATATCACCTCAAACCCCTTAGGATGGCTATTATCCAAAAAACAAAATGACAAGTGTTGGACAGGATGTGGGAAAATCAGATTCCTTTGCACTGTTGATGGGATTGAAAAGTGGTGCAACTATGGAAAACAGTATGGAGGTTCCTTAAAAAATTAAAATAGAACTAATATGATCCAGCAATCCCACTTTTGGATATATATCCAAGAGGACTGAAAGCAGGATCTTGAAGAGATAGTTGCACACCAGTGCTCACAGCAGATTATTCACAATAGCCAAGTTGTGGGAGTAACCCATTATGTCCACTGATGCATGAATGGACAAACAAAATGTAGTATATACATCCAATGGAGTATCATTCAGCCTTGGTAAGGAAGGAAATCCTGTCACATACTACAACACAGATGTACCCTAATGACATGATGCGAAGTGAACTTCGGCACTCATAAAAAAGACAAGTTCTGCATGATTCCACTTACACAAGGTTTTCTAAGTAGTCAAATTCATAGAAGCAGAAAGAATGATGGTTGCTAGAGGCTGAAGGGAAGGGGAAGGGGAGTTGCTGTTTAATTGATGTAGAGTTATATTTTCCAGATGATAAAGTTCTGGAGATCTATTTCACAATGATGTGAACATAGTTAACACTAACTACCAAACTGTACCTTTAAAAATGGCTAAGATGGTAAATTTTATGTTATCTGTTTTTTCCCACCACAACAAAACAAAAACCTTAAGTGGTTTATTAAAACAAACACAATTCCTTGTTCTGTAAGTCAAAGCTCTTTGAAATTTGGTAGCCAATTTGGCTTTTCAGCCAGTCTTTTCTACAATGCCCCACTTTACTTAATATTCTTTATTTTCTGAATATATTACTCTATATTATTTATATTCTGAACTGAATTACTAATAATACTCTGAATTCAGTCCATATAGTTCTGTCTACAATGCAGGAGCCCTGAATCTTGGCTGTACATAAATATCACTTGTAAAGTTTTTAAAGTTACAACTGTTTGGACCTCTCCCTTTAGAAATCCTAAACTGGTGACGGGCCCAGATTCAACTGTACTTTCAAAAATTCCATGGAGTCAAGAAGAATTACCATCTAACTATTATCTAATGTGCTAATAAAAATTGGCACACTTTTGTCAAAGCCTTATCTACCTTTCAAGGGTCATCTTATGCCTGCTTCCTCTATAATGTCAGGCCGTACTACAGCCTTAACTGGTGTGTTCTCTTGCTTCTTTTAACCCCGTTAGCACTTCCTTTTATCTCTTAAGTCACATATGTCCTCATTTGTAATACAGTTATCTACAGTCTGAATCATGTCGTGGGCAAATTTCGCAATCTCTCTGGGCCTCAGTTTCTTTGTCTATGAAGTGGGAAAAACAATACTCACCTCTCTGGGTTAAAAAAATGAGACAGGATCAAAGGAGATAACAAAGTACCTAGCATAGTACCAGATAAACATAGTGGGTGATCCATAATTGTTGGATCCATAATGCTCTCTTCATTTCTTGGCTTTCCCCTTGCTTCCCGAACATCAGATTGAAACTTTATCTTCAATCAGGTTAACTAATTTCACTTTAAGGAAAACATTAAAACTCTCAAATACAGAAGCAGAAACTCAGCCTCTAGAGATTTTATGGCTTTTTGGGAAATTACTTGTACTAAGCAGGATTTTTATCATCCAAACATTTGCAAAGCACTTTATTTTTAAGGAGAGTGCATATCAGTTACTGAGTTTGCCTTACTCCATCTTTAGCTAAATGGTAACAGTAATTGGGTCCTAAAGTACTGTTCTAAGTAATTTGCATATATTAACTCATTTAATTGTTATCACAATCCTATGAGAGGTATTTTTATCTCCCTTTATAGATGGGAAAAAAGTTGAGTCATCCACAAATTATGAGACCTGCCCTTGATTGTATCACTGTGATTCAAATCCAGGCAGTTTGGCACCAGAACCCATGCTCTTCATCACTCTGCTTTACTACATTTTCAAAAAATTTCAAATAACTGTCTTGGTATCTCACCTAGCAAGCGGAAACAAAAGCTGAAGAAGTAAAGAACCAAAACATTAAAGATTTCAAACCTCAAAAGATTTAAGATTAAAACAAAAATTTACAAGATGATTCTAAGTATGGCAAGTATTAGTAGTTATGTCCAAAGCATGACTTCTAAAGAAAACTAAGGATCTAGAGAAAAACAAGGTTGTTTCAAAAGAAAGTCTATAAACAGCAAATATCACTACTCTTCACTGGGAAAGGCAATCAACTACCAGTTATGCTGCAAGGCAAATAGACTTATTCTTCACAGACTTCTTTAACATGAGATAAACCGATCTGGCCTGACATCTAAAGGGGACAGGGAACCCAGGTGGCTAGGTGCCACATATGAATACTTAGTGGGAGGAACCACAGCATGAAATCAGAGCAGAGAGGTTTGTGAAGAATTCTAAAGAAGCACAAAATCAGCATGGACAACCCTGGAGATAGTATTTAATGCAAATCAGCGTATTACGCTGAAAAAAAGATTAGGTTTACATCTACTTCTGTGTTGTAATCAACAGAGCTGATTAATTGTCCTGAAAAGTAATTAACTTCATTCTGTCAATTAACTCAGACCTGTTTCTGTTAAAAGTTAAAAACCAAAATGGATCGGAGATTTTTAAAGTTCTGACTTAAAAACTTTTTCAGGGGGCAATCCCCCCATAATTCTAGAAAGTAGTTTACAGAAGTAAGTCAAGGAAGATAAATAAGCACAACCACAGTTCATTCCTCTTTGTTCTGTTTCTATAATTATTCTAAATATAACGTGGCCTTACCTTGGAGCTTACCCCAAACTGCCCCATCAGTAAGCATTTATGAAGTAGCTAACATGGGGAACCCCACACTGGGTCCATTTCTAAAGATACAGAAATGAATATGATTCCTACCCTGTAGGAATTCAATCTAGTGGGGAAGACATGTATACACATCTTTTCAACACAGTGGTGCACACTATGAGTACTTCCTGGAATTATACTGAGAAAAAGAGATAAATATTTTTCTCTAGTTTTCTGGAAGGGCATGCTTGTTTTAAATATGATAATCAGAATAATTTAAAATGTCAAATATTATCCCGTTTTATAATTTAAAAAAATAATCAACTGCCTGCCCCACACCACTTCAACAAAATCACCTTTGAACTGTTTCATGTGCTATTGCCCTGTGGTGTTTTACACCTTCATTATTCCTCTACCTTTGAAATTTATTCTCCACCTGATCCCATTCACCACTTTCACCACAAGTCCAAGGCACCTTCATCTCACTTGGTCTTTAGTCTCCTAACCAGTCTCTCTACTTCCACCCTTAACCTCCTTTGGCTCATTTACCACAAAATAGCTAGAATGGTCTTTAAAACATGAAAAATCAGATCATATCACTCCATTGTCTAAAACCCTTCCTGGCTTTAATGAACATAGAATAAATACAGAACTCCTTTTTGCATCCTACAAAGCTCTAAACAATTGGGCTTCTGCCTATATTTCTGACCACATTTCCTAAGTTTTCCCTCTCAGTCCAGCCACAGTGGCTTTCTTGCTTGTTTCTGGACCTGTCAAGCTCATACATACCTCAGGGTCTACACTTGCTATCTCCTCCACCTAGAACACTCTTCTTTACATATTCTCTTGGCTGGCTCATTGTCATAATTTAAGTCACTGCTCAAATGTTACCCCACCCTGCTCAAGGAAGGCTTCCTTCACACCCTACTTAATGTATCTCCTCACCCTCATTGCCAGCAACCCAGTCACACTCCACTTGATCATCCTGGTTTATTTTCTTCAGAGCAGTTATCATTATATGAATTATATTATTTGTTGCTTATGTGGTTACTGTTTGGCTCTATAACTCATGGAAATTCCATGAAGTTAGAAGCTTTGTCTAACCTACTGATCAATTTCTAGGGTCTAGCTCTGTGGTAGCATGTACCAGAAGCTTAAACAGTTTTTTTCCCCCAAATTTGCTGAGATCTAAATTACTTTGGAATTCTTATTTAATAGAAAATTTCATAATGAAAAATTTTAAACACAAGAGAGAATACTTTTAACAATCCATGATATACAACCAGTTTTTTAAAATGACCTAATTGTAGTCAATCTTATTTTAATTATAATCCTAGCTATTTCCTCTCTCACCAGGTTTTTGAAACAAATCTCAATTAACATTTCACATATTAATATTCAAGTTGTATCTTTCAAAAATAAAGATATACATATATATATATATATATATATAAATAAAACAAAACTGCAACATGGGAAATCTTTAAAAATTTACAAAATTCAGGGCCCCGTCTCCATCTGGGACCTAGTGTTATCAGAATCTCTACAGTGAGACCTAAACATATGTATTTTAAAAATTTTTTTCAGATTTCTGATTTAGCCAGACTGTCTGTCACACATCTAACGGCTGACATCAAGGAATGATTGTAGAAGGCTCAGAATTGTTGGTTATATAGGATCCACATTAGGAAAGACATCAATGAAAATACCATTTACAAAACAAATAGTTTCTAGTTAGGACACCAAAAGAATATTAGAATTTAAACAGAAAAAAAGAAATAGGTAGAATATTGAATCAAAGAGACCTTACTTGGATACAGAAAGTGGCTGATTAAGTTCTTCTTCCACAGCAATGTTGCTCTCTTCAAAACTGGGGATATCAACTGCTTTTAATGAAGATGCACTACCTGGAGGACTTGTGACTTCATTATTAATATCAACAGAAAAATTCATGTCCTCACTGGAAATCTTGGTATCATCTTGCCTCAACTGTGATTCAGGCTCCTGATGATCATCACCTGGTGCATTCCAAAATAAGCTGGCACCTGGAAGTTGAATGATTTAACTGATACTGAGACAAATGCTTATTTACAAAAATAAGTCTTTGATAAAACTTTGTTAAAAAAAAAACAGCAGGTCTTACTTAACAAAGTTTTGTCTTACTTAACAATTACCTAAAACTGTTTTCAGATCATATTTCCACAGAAATGCCACAAAGAGGTAAGTAAAGGTGAAAAGATAGAAAATTGGGGTAAAAAGAAAGAGGACATTCTGGGCCCTGCCTCTTTATGATACTATGTCAGGGATCTATCAGACATATGTAAAATCAGGCAGGTATTAAAAAATCATATGTTTCCCAAATGTTATGGATCACTTACACAATAATTTGCAGAACTTTTTGCATGTGTTATTATTTGTTTACTGGTTTTCTTTAAATCAACTCATTTTATTTTTACCTAGTTTCATTTTACCTGAGATCATAGCTAGTTATATTTTTTCAATACTGTTAAAAATAAGTATATCTACAAAATATGAAATATTCATCTGTATACCATCCCAAATCATCCTCTGAATCTGAGCAGTATATATTCCACAATTTGGGCAATACTTCTTTTTATAATTATGAAAAGAAATAGTTAAAACCAAAAAGTAAATCCAAGTCAAAATGGTTTCTACTTTGACGGTCAACTTGGGTGAATTCATGAAAATTAATTATAAAAGGATGATTAAATTTTGTATTCACTAAACACTAAAAAGTTCTTTTTCAAAAAGGATAATTATGAAAAAGTTACATACACGCTGCTACTCTTCCTGAATAAACATCAATACATACCTTTAGAGAATTAAGTATTATTATAAATATGTTTCTAAAAACCCTTTAGTTTAAATGATTAAAAATTCATTTTCTGTACATAACTGAATATGAATTTATGAAGTTTAAAATATTTGAATTCTATATATCGTGCTTGAAAACTTTCAAATAACATCAGAACATGAGTTCAAACATGTGAATGACTTCATCCAATTATCATTTATTCAACACATATTATGATGTAGGCATTATGTTAGAAAATGAGATACAATAGTGAACAAGACAGTGTTTCAGATCCCAAAAGCTTAGTCTAGTGACAGATACAGATGATAAGCAACTATAATACAGTAAGTACAGAATTCTACAAGAGGACATAGGAGGAAACTGTACTTTTTGGTGTGTTTATTTTTAATACCCACAGCTCTTACCATTTTAGTACACTATAGTGTACACACATACACACACACACACTTTCCCTGGAAACTCTCACCCCTGCAATTAACAAAGGAGGGTCTTTTATTATGTGCTTTTCAAATTCCTTACCATTGAATCAGGGATTAAAATCTAATCCAAACTAGGCCATTAAGGTCCTCTACAAACTGGGACTGAAGGATAGGAACCTGGTCAATGTACATGGCTACATGTACATTCTTAAACTTTGGAGTTTTGGGTGAGCTGTATTTAAAATATAAAGCAGTGAATACTATAGAAAGAGTTGAGTAAATAGCCATATTGAGTAACTGGATGGTCCTAAATGGTACTACAGATTCTAGTTCTAGTTTTTCCAAGTCCAGACCCATTCTTCATATTGGTTTTCATGACATATCCTGATATCCTTCCACTAAATACCTCTTCCTTGCTTAAATTATTTCCAAGTGTTTTATGTTACTTGCTGCCAAAGAATCTTACTAACACCTGAATTTGACATATAAATTTATGTGAGGTTCTTGTTAGCTTCCCTCCTTGCCCCTTCCAGACAGATAGTTTAGATAATAGGGTTCAGAAAAAGAACAGACATCTGCCTTCCTTCTTTATTCTCCCTATTGAATTTCTATTCCCCAGTCTCAAATCTTCATCTTTACTCTCATAAATCTTATGTCATCAACTCACCTCCACTTCTCCTCTTACATCTGAGTATCACTACATTTCCAAAAGTAGCTCAATCTCCACAGATATTTAGATTAAACTCATCCTCTCCTCTGCTTCTCTACCTTGCCTTCCTTCTGTCATCCAGGTTTAAAATCCTGAAATAACTTTCATTTTCACCTTGAATAAACTTTTAATTTTGGGATAATTCTAGATTTATAGAGAGTTTTTGCATACTCCTCACCCAGTTTCACCTGATATTAACATCTTGCAGTGCCATGGTACATTTTTCAAAATCAACAAACCAGTATTGGTACATTACTATAACTAGAACTCTGGACTTCATTTGGATTTCACCAGTTTTTCCCCAAATGTTTTTTTTTCTGTTCCAGGATTCTATCCAGGATATCACATTGTATTTAGCTGGAGTAACTTTTCCTACCTCTTCCAACTACCATATGCAATTAGTTATCAAATCTTAACACCCTACATGACTCTCCCTCTTCAGTTCTTATCACCACCACTCTATGTACTAGATATCTTGCTAGATCCTGGGGACACAAAGAAGATCTTAAAGATCTCATGGTCTGGTGGTGAGTAAACATGTAAATAAATATCTATCATTTACATCATTGATTTTCTAAAAAGGCCTTCAATGTTGCTACCAAATGAAGTGGATTTTCCTTTGTGAAAGATATAATAAACATATGTAATAACTCACTAATGAAGAGTACTAGAATTCAGAGCCCTGTGTTTTTCTCACTGAGCCCGTACTATTTTCTATATTCAATCTGTTCTATCATCTCTCAATTCCACCCACTAAAACCCTACATACCCTGCAAGGCCCAGAATAACACTGCAATAGATGAAACCTTCCCTGATCCCTCAAACCACAGATGACTTATCTTATCAGAACTGGGTCCAGCCTGGGAAAGTAGCAAAAACAAATAAGGTATTATGTTATGTGGTTTCATATCTGTCTTCAGGTATAGTTTTATTTCATAAAGAGTAAAATTACACACAGACTTAAGCAAGTTATACTCCCATCACCTTGCTTTTGTTTCTATTTGTACCAATTTCTATGTAAAAATTTAACATGAAAAGGATGTTTAAAAAAACTCCTTACAAACAAAAATGAAATTACCTGTGCTCACAGCAATGCTTACACTTTTTCTCATATGCAAACCAGGGGAAGGCTGTGATTCCATGGAAACCAATTCCACTTGTCTTGCAGCTTGTACTGTGTCTTCAACATTGGTTGTCTTAGGGGAACAGGGCTGCAGAGACTGTGATTGCAACAAACGCTGAATCTGTACCAATTAAAAACATACCTTAAACTGACAGTGATATAATCAACCAAACTGGTAGCAGAGTTTAAAGATGATTTACAAAGTGCCCCACTTATAAATAACTGACTTTTAAAGATATTTTCTCACATTTCAACTAAATCACACCATAAAACTTATTCAATGTAGAAATTATCATTATTACGAAGCAGTTAAGTGGCCTAAGCGTCAATTTAAAAGTAACAGGTGTTTAGATTAGCATTCATAAATTGACGCTCGTGTAGAAAAGCCTGAATGTTAACACTTCAACCTTCTACTCCTTTTCCACAAATCAAAAGTAAGATAGAAGCTATACTCTAATTCCATATGCCAAATACTGAACATTTTCTACACAAAGTTCTTCTTACAAAGAAAGGTTAATCACAATTGCCCATGTTTGGCCATGTCAAAACTGAAGCTATTAATAACAATAGTTAATACTTACAGAGTGCTTCCTTTTTACAAGACACCATAAGAGCTCTTATGCATGACTTTTAGAGCAACCCTCTGAAGAACACACAACTATTAAACGCACTTTACAGATAAAACTTGAGGCATTAAAAATGAAGTTGTTTGTCCAAGGCATATAACTTACAAGAAGCAAGACAAAAGTTCAAACACCCAAAGCTTCCCTTCCTCCTTTTTAAATAAAGATATAATTCACATATAATAACACAATTCAGTGTTATTCAGTGAAATATACAATTCAGTGGTTTTTAGTATATTCACAAAGTTTGCGACCATCACCATCATCTAATTACAGAACATATTTCATCAACCCCCCAAAATCTCTGTACCCATAGCAGTTGTTCTTCATTGCCCCTGTCCCTAGCCTTAGCAACCACCAATCTACTTTCTGTCTCTATAGATCTGCTTATTGTGGACATTTTATATAAACAGAACCATATGGTACATGGCCTTGTATCTTGTTTCTTTTATTTAGCATGTTTGCAAAATTAACCTGTGCTATACTACCTAGCAAAAGTTCTTTTCTTTTGATGGTTGACTAGCATCCTACTGTATTTATCTATTCATCAGTTAATGAACACTGGATTGTTTTCACTTTTGGCTATTATAAATAATGTTGCTATGAACATTTTTGTGCAAGTTTTTGTGTGAGCATATTTTTTCATTTATCTTGGGTTTATAACTAGAAATGGAAGAGCCTCCCTTTTTAAACAGTGGTTTTCCATTCTAAGTTCTACTATTGCATTAATACAAAATAGCATATGTACTTATAGTGGTTTGAAGCATAGGCTTTGGCGTCATGAGGACATTAAGTTTAAACCCTTCTCTGCTACCTTTTGGAAAAGCTATTTAACCACTATGAGTTAGAATATTGCCTAAAACTCAGGTAGTTGTGAGGATAAGAGATCAATAGCTGTAATTTGTTGAGTGTTTACCATAGCCAGGTCCTACACTAAGCACTCCTTTTCTCCCTTTCTCTTTCCCTCTCTCCCATATATATATAAACTGATTTAACCTTCAAATCTACATATAATACTAATCATTGCTCCCAATTCACAGATGAGAAAAGTGAGGTTTAGAGAGATCACATAGGAAATACTCAGAAGACTTATTATAAAGCTATAGTGATTAAATTGAATGGTTTTGGTGTTGGAATAGACAAGCAGATCAATGAAGAGTACAGTACAGAAATAGATGCAAACACATAATACTTTCATTATATAATAAAAAATGCATTTCTAAATCATTAACTAAAAGATCTATTATCCAATAAATACATGGGACCAATCATCTGAGGATTAAAAAGAAAAACATCGCTTATCAAAATAAAGCAACAAATATAATCCTGGAGGAGGAGGAAGGATGAAGAGTAAGTTTCATGTAACCTTGAAGGGAAGAAGGCTTTTATAAACATAATACAAAAGCCAGAAAGAAAATGACTGATAAATCTAATTATATCGAAACTAGAATATTCTGCATAAAACAAGTGGTTAAAACATAAAACATTAAAGACAAACTGTGAGAAATACCACATATATATATGATAAAGAACCAATTTCCTCAATATACAACAAGCTCTTATAAATTAATTGGAAAAGGACTTAATAGAAAAATGGATAAATGACACAGAGCATGTTTTCTTTATGGAAAGAAAATACAAATGGCCAAGAAATAATAAAATGATCAATCTTACTTAAAATCAACACAATGTGAATTAAAAGTTTCTATTTATAAGACTGATAAGAGTTGGATATGCCTAATATTGGAGATGTAGAAAAATAACTTCAGAGTATTAATTGAATACTAGTGTCCATTTTCACTCATTCAAGTTACAAAGTATGTATTAAACAACTATTATTAAGTGAAGTACTATTCAAGGTACTTAAGAATACAGTGATGAATCTTCTAAGCTCCCTTTCTAGAGTTCTTTGGAGACAAAAAACAAAAACATGGAATTGAGGCCTGAATGAAGAGAAAGAACTAGCCATCAAAGAACTACAAGGATGTTTCAGGCAAGGGGGACTACAAGCTTAAGAAACTAAGGTTAACATGTTCCTGTTTCCGAAGAACAAAAAGCACACCACTGCAGCTAAAGTAGTGAACATGGAAGACAGTATCAGGAGATGAGGTTGGAGAAGGAAACAGAAGCAAAATCCAAAGGGTTTTGAGGGCCAAGGAAAGGAATTTGGATTTTATTTTAACTGCAGTGGAAAACCATTGAGAGTTTTAGGCAGGAGCCCTGTGATCTGACTTGAGCTTTAAAAAGATGGCTGTGGTTTTCCCAACTGCAGGAAGCACAAGAGGACAGTACTGGAAGTAGCATGTCTGGATAAGAGAAGATGGTTTGAATTAGGATGGTAGCAGGAATGATGGTAAAGAATACTTCAGTTCAGGATGTATTTGGGAAGTGAAGCCTGGGTTTCTGAAGCCTAGGATTTTGGCCTGAGTGATGGGATGAGAAGTGACGGCATTAACTAAGATAATAATGATAATGAAAACAATTTAAGAGCTAATAGTTACTGAACACTAACTATATGCCAGGCACTATTCTAAGCCCTTTCTTAGTAACTCATCCAATCCTTCGAATTCTCTACACTTACTATGTATATTCTTCTTTTGTGTATTAGAAAACTGAATCAGTCAGAGAAGAAAAGTAATATGGCCAAGACTGTATAACTCATGTTACACTGAAACTAGATTAGGACCCAAGGAGTCTGAAGTCGGAGTCCACTCCCTTAACCACTACTCCAAAACAAGCCTTGGAATATTAGGAAAGGAACAGTTGGATATCTCTGAACCTTTAAAATGAATGTTCTCTTTGACTTCATAATTTTACTTCTAGGGATCTATGCCCAGAGATATATGCATATACTCAAGAGATGCAAGTGTAAGGATGTTTACTGCTGCAATGTTGAAATAATCAATAGGAGACCAATTAGAAAATTTGTTGTACATCATTGTAACAGAATTCTATGCTGAGTAAGATAGTTCTATATATACTTGGTAGAAAATGTTATGATTCTCTGTAAAAAATTTGAGATCTAAAAAGTTTAAAAAATTCATGAATATAACGCTATGTGTTTTATCACAGAAGCATATTTAGAGGCATACACTAAGTATAATGACTCGGATAATCTTAACTAAAGCCAGTACACTATAATCTACATTATAAGTATATAAAATCCCAAGTAACTAAGATTTGTAAATCAGTTAAAAGATCTTTTTAGTCTCTATAAGTCTTTTTTTAAAAAACAAAACAGGAAATAAATAAGACTTCTTTTCAATGTGAAATATCTAGTAGCTACATTAAAAATTTTGCCAAACGTTTATAATGATTTGTTAAAATCCGATCTATATTTTACAATTTCAAAGAATATACCTAAGCTTAAAGAAGTGGCAAAGCTATATTTTCTCAGGTGTACTATCTAAGGCATTTTTAAACAGAATTTGACAATGTCATTTTTTTTTTTTACAAAATGTAAACAGATTCCAATTTTATAAAACAAAGATTTTTTAAAAATCACACATATATAAATGTCCATTATACATATATTTGCATAGTTATAGGATCATAGAAATAATACAAATGAATATATTTCAAGCTGTTTCCATTGGTACTTGGGGAAAAGGAAGGAGGCAGGAGATATGTGGTAGGTATGTAAAAGAGTGCCAGTAAGGAAAAAGAAAAAAAAAGATACAATACTTAAAAGAGACTAAACTGTGCAAGGATATAATTAAAAGAGTAAGAATTCTGCCATAAGGCCTGAAGAAAAGAAGCATTTCAGAATAAAATGAGTGGAACAAGTCTAGTATAGATACACAGAAGAGGTTCTAGAACTATTCTCTAAAGGTACACTGGCTAAAGGTTAGTATAAATACTATAAGGTTGACAAACTAGAACTGAATCAGAATCCATTGTGCAGGCTTTACATTTAGTTGTATGTAAAGTTTAGTAAATTATATAGACTCTTCATTAGAGATAAAAAGTGAAAGAAAAAATGCAATTATATTCTAGTTTAGGACATACACAAGACAGGTAAGAGAAGGTTTGGTTTCTGGTCCTGATTCTACTCCTCACTAGCAATGTGTTACTGGGTAAACTATTTTCTCTCTCTAATCTTCATATTACTTATGTGTAGAACAATAGGGACTAGAATTCAGTTTCCAAGGTTCCTCTGAGTTCTGACATTTTACAATTCTACTCCACAAAATGTAATTTTACTGAGGAGTTGCCAGTTATTTTTAAGAAACCATATTCATACCAAGAATTTAAGAGAACTAAGAAAGCTCACAAACCTGTGCCTGGAGTAGTCTCAGCTGTCTGTCTTGTTCTGTGAGAAACCTATATGCATCCGGAGATAGTCCCATCATTCCATTATCTGACCCAGTCTTGGGTGTGTGCATGCATACTACACAAGGGTGTGGATTACAAGAGTCTACATGTGAAGGCAGTCTTGCCACAGGTGATGGTTCTACACTGTTGTGGGGAGAACCACTACCCATGGGTCCCTGAGGTCTCAAAGCTATAGGACTACTTGAAGAACGGAATGCATTCTGGTACAGAGCTGGACATCCAGTTGGGTGAAACAATAGATGCTTCTGAAAGGCTTCAGACTGGTGGTCTTGAACAGATCCTACTGTATTTATTTCTTGCCAAGAATTTATTGCATTATACTGAACACGGCTGTGATGCTGACAACAACTGCAAACATTTGTGGAACAGTAAGATGGTGGCAGGGGAGTAGGTATCTGAAGTTCCATTGGTCTTCCTGAATTGTGGGGTGAAAAATCAAAATTATGTGGGTGGGGCTGTGAGGCAAGAGAAGACTGCCTGGAATTAAATGTGCAGGGCCTTAGAGGATACTCTTCTTTGTGTACATGTCCAGCAGAAACTATTTCAAACTTCTCAGATGTATCAGGAGATGGACCATTAAGAGAAGATGGTTTAACATTGTTCCTGACATAGGGGTTCCCTTTCTTATAGGTAGATGGCTCTCTTACTTCACTATGTCTCAAAGGAGCAGCACCCTGGTGTAACTGATTTGGTAGCCTTCCCAAGGAAGGCTCTCCAACTTCAGCTTCTCGGCTGTTTTTCTCATCATAAAGCTGGTGTAGCAATGGCTCCAAGTGTTCAGAGTGGTTAATCAACAAAGGAGGATTTTCATTATTCACCATTTCCAATGGGTTAGGCAGGGGGTTTGATTCTATGAAATTGCCATCCAACACAAGTGAGAGTTCAGGAACTGATGGTTGGATCTTAGAAACCTATAAATGGGAAAGAAATGGAAGAGAAAAAAGAATTCTTAGGAAAGAGATATATGCTTCACTTTCCTTAGACTACTACTGTCCAAATTATATCAAGTTACTTTTTATAAGTATTTATTCTTTATTTAGACAGTTGGCAAATATTATCTGGGGATCTTCCATGTGCTAGGACTTGACATACAATTGTGAGCAAAATAAACAGTCCTTGCCCTCATAAACTTAAGTAATGACAGAACTCCTTTCACTAGACCACTGATTATTGTTGCTTAGATCCCAGAACACAATATAGGAAACTACTTTATAATAGACGTTTTTTTTTACCCTCTCTCCACAAAAATAATTATCACAGGCAGAATGCTTCAACAGACCTAATAGCAAATAATGTTTCTGCATGTTAAATAACAAAGGCTCTTCCAATAAATATTTCAGAATATTTTTTTTACTAATTATTCACTGTTATTCTTTTTATTGATATGAACTAAGAGTTGGAAAAGAACAGAAATGAGTAAATAAAATACACTCATTATGGTGAATTTGGTTACAGTTTGATACTAATTTTTAAAAACCTTTCCCATTTATTTTTCTTCTAATAAGCAATTAGTCCAATTAAGGCACAATTCTAAAATAACCGACTGGTTGGTCACAATTCAAAAAAAATTATGACACGGGTTGTTGGCAATCTACAAAAGCAAGTAAAATGTTTCCTCAATGGTGATAGCATAGAACGTTGTGTCCATTATGGATTAAAAGCACCTGATTCTGAAAAAAACCTCCTGAATTCCAGTTGTGTAATCCTGGGCAGGTAATGTAACAAATCTGTGCCTCAGTTTTCTCTAGGAAAACTGTACATATATGCAGAGACACGAATACACATAATTATATATATTTGTGAGGAAAATATCTATCTGTATTGATACAGCCATATAGAGATAGCTACGTGTAACTCTTAAAATGAAACCTAAGTAAGTTTTAGGTAATATTATCAAATGCATTAACATGAAGAGATTTTTAGGTTTCTAACTACAAAAGTGAGTTCTTTCTAAGATCACTGATACCTTCTGATTAACTGGATGAGGACTAGGAATTGGTCTTGGAGAAAAATCTTCATCCTCAACACCAGAGTCATGATCATTTATTGGCATTTTCCCTGGAGATAACTTTTGGGAAGACCTGAAGAATAGAGAGCAAAAAAAAAAAGTCTTCAGTATTCTAGTGTTCATTTGTTCTTTCTGAAAATGAATAGTCCTTTAAGAAGACACAGTAGTATCTGGATCATTTAATCTAGTATCCGACTACCACAAATTATTTTATTTTTCATGCCAATTCTAGTTGCCCAAGAAAGCCAGCCCAGTCAGACTTATACTTAATAAACTATTCCCCCTTGCCTGATGATGGCAAGTTTAAACCAATTATTCTTTTTCTTTTAATTAAAGTATCACTGATATACAATCTTATGTTGGTTTCAAATATACCACACTGTGGTTCAACAGTTACCCATATCATTAAATCCTCACTCTCTCTAGTGCAGTTACTATCTATCAATGTAGTTAAGATGTTAGAGTCATTAACTGTATTCTCCATACTGTACTACTGTCCCCATGACCAATTTATATTGTGATTGTGAATTATTGTGTCCCTTTATCCTGTTCACCCTCCCCACCCCAACCCTTGGTATCCATTAGTCCCTTCTCAGTGCCTATGAGTCTACTGCTATTTTGTTCTTTCTGTTTGCTTTGTTTTTATATTCCACAAATAAGTGAAATCATATGGTATTTGTCTTTCTCTGCCTGGCTTATTTCACTGAGCATTAACACCCTCTAGATCCATCCATGTTGTAAATGGCAGGATTTTTCTTTTTATGACTGAATAATATTCCTTTTTGTATATGTACCACATCTTCTTTATCCATTCATCTATTAATGGACACTAAGGTTGCTTCCATATCTTGGCTATTGCAAACAATGCAATGATAAACATAGGAGTGCATATGTCTTTTCAAACCAGGTTTTCTTCAGGTAAATTCCTGGGAGTGGAATTCCTGGATCAAATGGCATTTCTATTTTTATTTTTTTGAGAAATGTCATATTGCAATGGTTGCACCAATTTACATTCCCACTAACAATGTAGGAGGATTCCTAGTTCACCACATCCTTGCCAGCATTTGTTGTTTCTTGTCTTTTGGATAGTGGCCATCCTAACTGTGTGAGGTGGTATCTCATTGTTAACCCAGTTATTCTTAATGTACCAATAAATCAAGTTACTGAGCATCTTCTGATGAATCCCTTTGAGGAATATAAAAATAAGCAAGACATAGCATTCACCACTAAAAAACTGGTAACCTGGTAAGATGTTCAGTCACCATATTAGGCTTACTGTATTAAACATTCATGTTATAAAGGAAAATCAAGTAGGGAATTACATTTTTCATATGTACTTACATCTATGGTGGAAAAATACTTTGAGACATTAATTGAGGTATTTCCTGTCACTTAGTCAGTGTGGTCACTGTGTCACAGGGACCATGCTCCAATAGAATACAGAAAAATTCTGTTTCAAAAGCTGAAATTAAAGTTTGAGACTCAAATTTGGAAGACTATATGCATCAGGTTTTTCTGCATCCTAAGTCTCAATGCATTAAAGAAGAGGAAAGAAAAGCCAGAGAGAAGCTGAGAGCTTTTAGGGATTAATGGAATCCCTAAAAAAGGTCCGGCTTCCTGCCTACCTAGCAGGTAGATTTGGAAGATCTGACAGAAAAGACCTTTGCCCTAAAGCCTCGTAGTTTGGAGAGACAAACACTCAAGACTTCTTTCTGTGCCAATATGCTGCACTGAAACAATCAGAATGTCTGCATGGTGGGTTTAAGCAGAAGTGTCTGCACCCAGTTCCAAAAAGCTCTCCCCCAATACCCAAGAAGGACATGAAAATACAGAATGACATCCCTTGGGCCTCAGTGCAACATGGATATGACACAGAACTAGTGACCTGAATATGGTAAGGAGCCTGCAGCAGGAACCTGCACAAAACTACTGCCAAAGACCAGACACAAATGAAAACACCTCAGCAGATGGCAGCATGGATGGATGATAATCATGTCACCCTACATCACCATACTAGCACAGCCTTGGTCCCTCTAAATTATACATAAACTCAGAGAAAAGAGGATAAACAGACCTTTAAATGACTGAAATTTGGTTTCTGTAACCAAGCATAATGAAATTATACAAACCGAGCAAAATTTATAGAAATTAAATTCAATTATTTTTAAAAAGAAAAAAAGTTACATTTTTTGTATCCCTGATTTTATGGTAAAGAGTTAATATTTGCTACATACTTACTTATGGGTAAATATACTCACATATACCTATACACATAAAATTTCCAACACTGAGCAATAAAATCCATTTCTGAACTTTTTTAGCACCCAAGGCAAAAAGAAAAACCCTGTGGGTTGTATAATTATACCAGTTCTCTAGGTGAGACAAACATTTTACTAAAATCTGAAAATGACTGATCCTTATTAAAGATTTGGTCAGAGTTGAAAATAGACAGTATTTTCAACAACAATGTTTAAGGAATCTATAAGTGTCTCCTTAACTTAGCATTTTCTTCTATAAATATTCATTAAAATCTTGAACAAAGCCTTAAAACTCAAGACAATGAAGGTGTTCCTACAAAGCTATAAGAATAGTTTTCTGCTGATCTAACCTGTTTCAAAGATAACTTAAAATGCCCAAAGTTTAAGTATACCTCAGACATATTTCTAACCCCCAGAACTTGTGAATTTATTACCATACATGGTAAAAGGGAGTTTGCAGATGAGTTAAGGATTTTGAGATCTGGAGATTATCCAGTTAGGCTCAATGTAATTACAAGGGTCCTTATAAGATGGAGGCAAGAGAATCAGAATCAGAGAAGGAGATGTGAGGACAGAAGCAGAGGTCAGAGAGTAAGATTTGAAGATGCTAATCTGCTGGTTTTAAGGATGGATTAAGGAAGGGGCCATCAGACAAGAAACGCAGGCCTCTAGAAGACAGGCCTTTAGATGAGATTAAAATAAAGTGGATTCTCCACTAAAGTTTCCAGAAGGAATGCAGTCCTACCATTACTTTGATTTTAGTCTCAAAGACCATTTTAACTCTGACCTCCAGACCTGGAAGATAACAAATTTGTACTATGTTAAGTCACCAAGTTTGTGATAATCTTTTGGAACAGAAACTGGAAACTAATACAGATATAGTCATAATTCCATTTTATAGATGGGATACTAATGTTTAGAACCGGCACATGAACAGATACGTCATATACCATAACCGGAGTTCACAACTATTATGTTATACAGCCACTATCAATAGCTGGTATGGATGACATTTTTAAATTGTATCATAGTTAATTTCCACCTATAGAATCAATTCTATAGACATTGAATGTTATAAAGAAGTTCAAGCCATTTTCTCAATGACTGCAATATCTATAGTGAACTTTACACCTGCTTGCTTTTCTAATGCAAGATTTAGATAGTACTAAATGGGCCCAAAGACAGGGCAAGGTTATAGGCCAAAAGTTGAGAAAATGACAAATCAACTGCTAGAGCACATTAAGAATAAGAATAGTTTCTGAACTAGAGTCAAAGAATAAACCAGCATTGCAAAGTAAGCTCTAAATGAGGTTAGTAAATATTTGGCAAATACTAAATTAAAGGACCTCTCAAAAAATTTGGAGAACATTCAACACTCTATCATTAAACTACAAATTCCATTAGGGAAGGGAGCATGTCTGCAATGTTTTTATCATGACTATATTCACAGCCCACAGCAGATTATCTGGCATATAGCAGAATAAATGAGAAAGCTGGAAGAAGGATATGAAGGGTTAATTGAATGTGTCAACCTGGCTTGGCCACAGTACCCAGATATTTGTCAAACATTATTCTGGATGTCTCTGTGAAGGTATTTTTTTAGATGAGATTAAATTTAAGTTAGTAGACTGATTAAAGTAGATTTTCCTCCATAATGTGAGTGGGTCTCATCCAATCAGCTGAATGCCTTAATAGAACAAAGACTGACCTCCCGCATGAAGAGGAAATTCTGCTACCAAACCATCTTTAGACTATAATGTAACACTTCCCAGCCTGCTGGCCTACTCTGCAGATTTTGGACTTGCTAAATAAGCCTCCACAATTTCATGAGCCAATTCCTTAAAACAGCTCCATATACATCCTGTCAGCTCTGTTTTGCTGGAGAACCCTGACTAATACAATGGAGTATCTTCTTTACCACAAAAATTAAATACTGACCCAAAAATTCACAAGTCATTATTTAATTAATATTCCCCAAATATATTTGCTTTAAAAGTTTTAAAACAATTTCCTTTTTAAGTAGAGGAGTTATTTTTTATAGTAGTTTATCTGACAGGCCCAGGTTTAAAATTACAAGGAAGGTAAGAACAAGCAGAAGGCAAACTAAATAAAAACAGGATGTGTCTTCCTAAGCAAGATGTTCTTGACAAATAGCTTTTTTTTTCCTATGTAATAAGTCAGCTCCAATGAGAACCATACTAGCATCATCACTTCATTAAAATGATCAACCAATTCCAAGTATGAAGGAATGCACTTAAAGCAAGGACACCTACAGTAATATAAGATACACAAACAGCTTCATCAGAAAGAACTGGGGAGTTATCTTTATTATTCATCAAAAACTAATAGACATAATGAAAGGATACTGATAATAAAAGTATCTTTTACCTCTTAATTGAAAGATTCTTGAAAACTTTGTTGAAAAATTCCATTTCTGCATTTTGGCTTTTAGCACTCAGTTCAAAATGGGCTGGATTTTTGTCAGAAGGTTCAACATTCTGAAATGAAGTAGGTCATACTTTGAGATTTGACTTAAAAACACCAGAGGATTCAAAGTAAGTAAAAAGTAGCTCTGAAACACTGGAAGGAGAGGGACTTCTGATTTCTATAATTAACCTTAAAAAAAAAATCTTATTTTTAGAATTGAGATACAACTGACATAAAACATTACAGTTTCAGGTATACAACATAATAATTCGTTATTTGTATGTATTATGAAATGCTCACCACAGTAAGTCTAGTTAACACCTATCACCATACAAATGTTACAAATGTTTTTTCCTGTGTTGAAAACTTCTAAGATCTACTCTCTTAGCAATTTTTAAATACAGTACTATCAACTATTGTCTACCTTTCTGTACATTACAGCCACAACCTATTTTTTTTACAACTGTATGTTTGTACCCTTTGGCCACCATCACCCATTCTATCAATTCCCAACCCCCTACCTCTTGCAATCACTGATCTTTTCTCTGTAATTATTAGTTTATGGGGTTTTTTTTATTCCACATATAAGTGAGATCATATGGTATTTGTCTTCCTCTGACTTATTTCATTTAGTATAATGCCCTCAAGGTCCATCCATGTTGTCACAAATGGCAGGATTTCTTTTTTTCTAAATGGCTGAATAACATTCCATTGTATATATACCACGTTTTATGTATCTACCACTGGACACTTAGCTGGTTCCATGTCTCCTTTGCTGTGAATGCTGCTGCAATGAATGAGGGGGTGCAGTTATCTTTTCACATTAGTGTCTTCATCTCCTTTGGATAAATACCCAGAAGTGGTATTGCTGGTTCAATTCTTAGAACTATCATATGCTACACATGAAATATGTACATAATGAAAGTGCTACATAAATAGAAGTGAAAACTTCATTACCTGCATTATGTAACTCACTCACTCGAGATTCAGTTAAAATAGTAACTTTGCACTGAGAATATGATCTAAAGAATAAACTGAGTAAATGACATGTCTCTAAAACGGAAATACATTATTAGACCTCATTTAAGATGATTGTATTATAATTAAAGTACAAACACTTGATTCATGAACTGATACAACCTATAAATGAAATTAAAGAGGGCACAAAATAATGAGTGGAAATAAATGACTATTTAGAGGAATTCATTATTTTTATAATAAAACATTATTTTTTTATGATTGGTCTGAGATATAGAACAACTAATCATTTTACTGAAAAATAGTCTTATAGTTTTTACTTAAAGACACTTTTCTATGGCCATCACCTAGGTGTATTTTTATACATTTCATTAGATATAGCAACAATCTACTCTGATTCCTAGGGTTATATCTTATAAACATTGACTTTGAAGTGTGAGAAACTATTTGTTATATCCGTACATTTAAAAAAATAATAGTCAGGACAAAGAAAACACCAAGATCACAAATTAACTCAGTATCATGAAAGATGCAACATATACAGTCTTGATGTATTCTTAAGTTTTAGAATGGGCAAGAATTTCTATGGATAAGCTTTGATTCTGTATTATAATTTGGTTCTGGAGAGATGGTGTAAAATTTACAAGACAAAATTAACCATAAATGAATAAAGTTAATTAATAAACAAAGCCTAACAGTTTGAGTTACTATTTTAAAGAGTAAAGACCACTGGGCTTAAGCTGTCAGCATGCAACCCTAAACAGTCATTAGTGCACTAGGTAATCAAATCACTTACTTTGAAAAGATGTAATGTTTCCTTGCTAGTTAGCAGCTGGAATCGAAGGTCAGGTAACCTGCCATCGCAAGGGAGGCATTCATAAAACTCAGGATCTTTATGTGTCACAGAGTAGAGAACTATAATGAAATTTCCAGTTTCTGAAAAAACCCTGGATGAAAAAATGCCATGTAATTAAATTTGCTAAGGATAGCAAGAGTACACTCAAAGAACTATGAGTATATGAAGAATCTCTCAATATAGTAAATAGACTTGACTAAATAGATCAATTTTTAGAAGAAAACTGGGAAGCAGATTTGTTTACTTTCTATTGTTACTGATTTTTAATTTTAAAATGCATTTTATTATAAAATACATATTCCTTGTAAAAACTTCAAACAAAACAGGAAATGTATAATAGAAAATGAAAACCACCTCACCCTACTCTCCAATTTAGTGTATATACTTCCAGATTTCCCCCTAGACATACACATTTTACACAATATAATAAAAATGAGGCCATATTATACACATTATTTGTAACTGCTTTTTTATTTGACTATCTTTGATATCTTTCCATGTCACATTCTCTATTATACCTCAGACCTCTATTTTTTTAGTGACTATCCAGTATTACACAATTTATAGATGTGCCACTATTGACTTATCTAGACTTCTAAAAATGGATATTTACAATATTTCATTATAATAAACACTGGTAAAATGAACATTCATTTTATTATTCACTACATGACTCAAATATTTGTAAAGTCATCAAGAGTCCCTAAGCTATATACTAAAACCAACCACAGGTATCCCCCAGTTTTTTGAAAGTTTGGGTTATACCATTTTGCTTTTATGAAAGACTTACCCATTTTTGCATTTGTGTTGCACTGAGCCTTTAGAGAGGCAGCAGGCACCACGAGTGGCACAAGAGTGGTGCTGTAAAGCTCTTTCCCTGAGAACTACACTCAGCATCAAGCTGCCATACCTTTGAACTATCTGTGAGCATCTGTGGTTTATCTCCATTTATTTTGTGCATCATTAGCAAGATGTGTCCTAAGGTATCAGAAAAGCCTAAGAGATTATTTTTTGGGTCTGAGAATGCTCAAGAATTCTCCATATAAATTAATGGTAACTGTTCCTTCATTTTTATTTTATTTTATTTTATTATTTTACTTTAATTTTTATTTTGGTATCATTAATCTGCAATTACATGAAGAACATTATGTTTACTAGGCTCGCCCCTTCACCAAGTCCCCCCACATACCCCTTCACAGTCACTGTCCATCTGCATAGTAAGATGCTGTAAAATCACTACTTGTCTTCTCTGTGTTGTAGAGCCTGCCCCATACCCACCCACATTATACATGCTAATCGTAATGCTCCCTTTCTTTTTCCCCACCCTTATCCCTCCCTTCCCACCCATCCTCCCTAGTCCCTTTCCCTTTGGTAACTGTTAGTCCATTTGTGGGTTCTGTGATTCTGCTGCTGTTTTGTTCCTTCAGTTTTTCTTTGTTCTTATACTCCACATATGAGTGGAATCATTTGGTACTTGTCTTTCTCCACCGGGCTTATTTCACTGAGCATAATACCCTCTAGCTCCATCCATGTTGTTGCAAATGGTAGGATTTGTTTTCTTCTTATGGCTGAATAATATTCCATTGTGTATATGTACCACATCTTCTTTATCCATTCATCTACTGATGGACAT